TAGGCAAATCCATAGAGACAATGTAGAATAGAGGTTAACAGGAACTGGGGGTTGGGGGGTGGAAAGGAATGAAGGGTTATTACTGTTTAAGGGGTAAGGAGTTTCTGTTTGGGACAATGAAGGGTTCTGAAAATACAGAGTGGTGATGGTTGTACAACACTGTGAATCTCCTCAATGCCACTGAATTGTACTCTTAAAATGGTTCAAATGGTAAATTTCATGTTATGTATATTTTACCACACAAAAAAATTGATTTTGTACATGGAGTAATTAGCACATACGTGGCCCACAGTTGTCTGGGCTCAGTGAATGAAACTATTGTTTTCACAGGTCTGGCACACACTTGCCTTTTTCAGAGAGGAATCTCTCTCATCCCATAAGGCCGAGAACCTTGAACTTAGGAGTCTGTCTGCCCTGGAGCACTCTTCGACATCCTGAGTCCTTTCCCATCATACCTGGGTCTCCTGTGGACACTGTCCACATGGAACCCCAAGTCACAGTCTACTTAACAGGATGAGGCCCCTCCTCACTGGAACCAGCAAGAAGACATCCCAGGAAGGCCTCCCATCCCTCACCATCTTGCCCTTTTGGTCTTTCTAAGGCTACATCACTAAGCGGTAGAGGTGGGATAATTTCAGAGAGAAATCATTACAGAGAAGAGGAAAAGGTAAAGATCAGGCTATCTTAGGCCTTCCCTGGAGTCTCCAGTGGAAAGAACTCAAAACTTAAGTCCTTCACCATGACAGGATCCACTCGTGTTGCTCACCCACCCCCACATATACCTGGCTCTCCTGGCCTTTGGCTCGCCAACCATCTCCCGTATGGGCTTCTTCAAGTCTCTGAATCTCCGCCCACAAATGATTGGCCTTTATAGTGCCTCCGGTCTGAGTGATCCTCTCTGGAATAGTGCCCTAGTGATTAAGTGACACCTTTGTCACCCAAGTCTTATAGAAGAGCTGGGTCCTTTGAACAGGAGTGGACTTGGATCCTCTAGGCCTAATTTCCTTAAGTTCCCATGAGAGCTGCAGGGAAAGTGGTTCCTTTCTTGACTGACCCTGTTAGATTAAACACATGCTTACCTCTCAACACAGACTTTCATTTTCAGGTTCAGTACAGTTTAAACCATATGGAAAAAAGAAAATATTTCTTCAAATAACAGGGCATCTCATCCCTTTCTGGTGTCTGGAACCCCGAGCAAGGTTATTTCTTGCTCCCCTGGTGAGTCCTCCCGAAGAATAAAGCATGTCCTTTCAGTGGTAGCCGTCATCATTTTTCAGGAAGGGCTCCAGCTCAATAACATTTTTCATTTATTTCAGAAGACTCTCTGGAATGGGATACCATTGCCAATGTTTTCTTACACTATTATTACTGTAATTGCAACATAAGGAAAGGGAAGTTTATTCAATAAGTGCTACTGTGCAACTGGACAATTATTTGGAGGAAAAATAGCTAGATTCATGCTTTATCTGAAACTCTCACACTAAAATCAATTCCAAATAGATTAAAGATTTGGGTATTAAAAGAGAGAGAGGAACCATATGAATTAAAGAAGGAATTTAAGCTTCCAAAAGTCAGGCAACCAGCAGTTGGTAGCCTCTCCTGATTCTCATCGGAATACCTACAAAGATACAACCATAGAGCGGGATAACTATCAATATTAAAAGATGAAGACTGATAAAGAAATGCCAAATATAGTAGAAATTGAGTCCAATTTGATGGCAGATGCAACTGGACTAGAATGGAGGGGTCCCTATTGTCTTCAGCTCATGCTAGAGAGGCTCCCTGATTAAAAAGAAAAAGGATGAAGAAGCTCGGGCTATTTCCCACCATTTATCTCTCAACCAGAGACCCAGGGACTCAGAAATCTGGGCAGCTGGCTCTCTAGAGCAGTGGAGAACGTTAGACACATACCAATCTCCAGATACCACCCCAGACTACGTGACTCAGAATATTTAGGGGAGGCACTCAAGCATGGGTGTTTCTTTTAAAACTCCCGAGGTGGGACTTCCCTGGTGGTGCAGTGGTTAAGAATCCACGTGCCAATGCAGGGGGCACGGGTTCGAGCTCTGGTCCGGGAAGATCCCACAGGTCACAAAGCAACTAAGCCTGTGCACCACAACTACTGAGCCTGCGCTCTTGAGCCCGCGAGCCACAACTACTGAGCCTGCATGCCACAACTACTGAAGCCTACGCGCCTAGAGCCCATGCACTACAACAAGAGAAGCCACCGCAATGAGAAGCCCACGCACTGCAACGAAGAGTAGCCCCCACTTGCCGCAAGTAGAGAAAGCCCACACCAAGCAACGAAAACCCAACACAGCCCCAAAATAAATTAATTAATTAAAAAATAATAAATAAAACTCCCAAGGTGGTCTGAATGTGTGGCCAGATTGAGAACCAGTCTTTTGTGTATATTTCTCAGATACCATTCTATAGGGCAGGAAGGTAATCAAGAGATTCTGTCTCCCCCTTTTGGCCAGTCTGGCTCTTTTGCGACATTTCTTTCCTTCCTTACAGTCTGGGATGGCCCTCTTCACTGTTTCTCCTCCTATCATTTTGATTTCACTTCTTCTGTTTTCAACATTACCTTCTTACTTCTGCCTGCCCCTTAAATATTGGTCTTCCTAGAGCTTGGTATCTTGAAATATCCTCCTAAATTAGAAATTTCATTCAATTCTAAGACTTCAGCTGACACATATGGACTGAAGACTTCAATTCTTATACAGCAGGGTGAACATTTTCACCTTCATAACCCTCTTCCTGGAGTATATACCCTCCCACTGATGGAGCCCTACCCAACCCAAGCCAGGATAACTGCAGAGGTCTTGAGGAGGTGGGGGAAAGAGAGTCTTTTTTTTTTTTAAATAGTGGCACAGAAGTTATGTTAAAAAGTAGTCTTGTAGAATCCCCACTAGCCTAGACCATTCATCCCCTCTCTCAGTAGTTAGAACATAATGATGGACCAGATGCCAAGAGGAAGAAGTTAGATGCTGGGACAAGAAAGGAGAAAGAAGAAAGTAGAAGTGCATGGAGGAGACCACTCTTCTGCCCATTAAACATGAACTTGAACAAGCTAGTGGGGACTGAAAAGGGAAAAGAAAGCAACTTTGGACCATCTCTCAATTCTCTATATGCGTGACTATCTAATGATAAAACTTTTCCAATAATGAACTGTATCATTTTCACAAACAATGACATCTGCTTCTCTCTACCAAGCTTCTAACTCCCTCCTGATGACCCAACAATCATAGGTACCTCAAACATAACATCTAAAATACATCCCTCCTCCTCTCCCTTGCCCCAATCTTCTCCTCTCCTGTGCCATCTCTGTGACTGGAACTACCATTTCTCTACCTGATATGGGTTAAATTGTGTCCCCACCCCCAAATCCATATGTTGAAGTCCTAACCCTAGTACCTCATATGTGACCTTGTTTGGAAATAGGATCATTGCAGATATAAATAGTTGACTTAAGATGAGGTCATTAGAGTGGATCCTAATCCAATATGACTAGTGTCCTTATAAAAAGGGGAAATTTGGGCACAGAGACATGCACACAGGGAGAACACCATGTGAATATAAAGGCAAAGATCAGGTGATGCTTTTCCAAACCAGGGAAAGCCAAAGGTTGCTAGCAAACCACAAGAAAGAAAGTGAGAGGCACGGAACAGATTCCCTCTGCAATGCCCAGAAGGAACCAACATTGCTGACACCTTGACCTTGGACTTGCAGCCTTCAGAACTCTAAGACAATGAATTTCTGTTGTTTAAGCCAACCAATTTGCGGTACCTTATCACAGCAGTACATACCACCCAGCAAAGTATATAGCATATATGTATACGGCGAAAAACACCCAACAGACTTTCACCCTCCATCTCTCATCCAATGTCCTATGGCTAAATACCATCCAGTTATTCTCCAAGATGTCTCCTAAATTCAGCTACTACTGTTTCCACTGCCTCTGTAGATATTTTGGGTAATTGGGTAATTATGTTAGGAGAAGATAGAAAACTTAATCTGCCAAATGGAGCCAGGATAGGCTGAAGCTGGTGTAAGAGAGAGGGTTTAGGATTCAAAGCGGTTACAGACATGGTGGGGCTAGCAAGCAGAGGGGGAGAGCGCACGTAGCTGTGGGTAAGATAAACACCAACTTAACTGGTTGGGAAAAGCTGAGACCACAGAGCCTACGTCAAACGTCAAAGAGGTGGGGCTGGCTAGAGGCCAGGGCTCCCCTGGCTCTGTCCCCGCAGTGACTTTGGGGCTGGGCTTTCTCCTGAGTTGCACACTGGGCGGTGAGTGGAGGTCTCAGGGGTACCTTTGCTACTGGGTCTCCCTCTGCCCGGATGCTGGTGCATATTCCTGAGGCTCCAGCTCCTTTTCCAACTGCCAACCGAACAGGCAGGTTTGCTGACAAACATCCTGTTCCAGTTCCAAGGGGTGTGAACCAAGGCGGGCACTTGGCATCCCCCAGCACTAGCTCCAGCTCTGCCAGGAAACAGAAGGCTTCACTGTGGCTCCTGGAATCGTATTCTACACTTTCGGATCAAGCAGTGAAGGACCTGGAATAGGATACTCCTTGGACCCCAAAAGGCTCCAAGCAGCTCTGCTTGTCCTTCTCTCTGTCCCCGGCTCCTCCCCTCACTCCCTGCCCATCAATTTCTCACTTTCACTCCCTCCCTGCCCCCTCCCTCCTCCTGCTGCCCCCCACCCCGTGCTCACTCTTCTCTCCCCCCATTCATCCCCCATGGCTATCACCTCCTTCCTCCATTCTTAATCCCCTCTTTGCACCCCTTCCTTCCCTCCTCCCCCTCCAACTTTTCCTTCTCTTTCCCGCCCGCTCCCACCCTTCTCCTTCCCCCAATTTCTCGCTCTCCCTCCCTTGCTCTTCTCCTGATCTTTCCACCTTTCTCCTCACTTCCCTCTCCCCCCTCCTCTCCCTGAGCCCTACCACCTCCCCCACCAGCCCTGCCCATCAGTGTTTGCTTTGCTCCCGGAACCGGATGAAGGGGTTGCCCTGCCCATGCCCTGCCCTGCCCCACTTCTGGCAGCTGGGGTCTCCCTTCATGGCCGACGGCTCTGGGACTCAGGCCCCAGGGAAAGGGCCCCTGCTCAGCATGCAGCTCCTGCGAGCGCAGTACGCAGGCCTGAGACGGCAACAGAAGGCCCAGGCCCACGTGGTGGTGCTCCCGAAAGGTAAGGCTGGGCAGGTGCTGGGGGCAGAAGGGAAGGGCACGAGGGCCTGGCTGTGGGCAGAATGCGTGGCTGAGCCGTGGGCAGCGCAGGGCCAGGGCTCTGCTGGCCTCCTGGTGGGGAAGGGCAGGGAGGCGGGCTGGCCTGTGCAGGGCCTTTCCGCTGGGGCCTCAAGCCGTGATGTTCCCAACAGCTCGGGCGCTGGCCAGAGGAAGCGCAGGGCTCAGGGACCCAGGAGGCACCCAGGCTCTCGGAGCGAGCTCTGCACCCCCTCAAACAGCAGCTGGGGAGGGGCGCTGAGACACAGAAGCCCCGCCTCCAGGGGAGCAGCCTCCTTCCTCTGGGAACTCAGACTTATTCCAGGAGGAAGTTAGGAGCACAGGGCTGAGAAAGCAAGCGATGGTCAAATCCCGGCCCTTCATCCTCTAACCGAGAGGGCAAGTCAAGAGAGGTAGGAAGACCCCCTGAAAGGTCAGGGCTGTGCTCTGGGAACTTCTGTGGCTGTTTATACAGTTCAGGACTCACTGAGCAGCCCACCCCACTCTCGGCGAGTCTGGGAAGGAACCAGGGGCCAGAGGGTCCTCACTGTCTGGGACAGGAAGGGCACTGCCTTGGGCTAAAGGCACCCACCTCTCATAACTTGGGCTGTTGCCAGTGAGTGGGGTCCATTTGAACTGAACTGGCACAGCCGAATAGCCCCCTCTCTCTGCAGGGCAGAAGCTGGGAGTTTCCTAAAGCCCTAGTCCATCCTCAGGGGTATTCACTCATTCAGTTACTCAGCAAGCATTAATTAAACTTGTATCGAATGAACGCAGATTTAACACACCTGTGGTTCAGACTCACCCATCCACGTGATGGGTATGCCCCCAAAGACATCTCAAACTCAGCACGCCCCGTAGAATTGACCACCCCTGCCCCACCCCTCCCTGCTGCCCCTTTCTCCTGCATCCTAGAACTCAAACCTCCCTCCTCCGTGGTCACCCCTTGACGAGTTACGTCATGAGTTACAACAGGGTAATGCGAGGGGGAGTGCTCAGGCTCTGCTTCCCCAGGGAAGACTGCTCACCCGCAGGCTCAGTCAGAGTCTTTCAGGGCATTTCTAGCAGTTTGCAAGCCCACATTGTTGCTCTAACTGTGAGAAGTAGTGTGCTCTCTGATGGAGTGCTCCTGTACTTTGTCTCTGGAGAAGGGCCTGAACCTGAGTCCCAGCTCTGCCACTGAGTTGCTCTGTGCAGATTTGAACGAGTCATGTACGTTACTGTCACTCAGCTTTCTCGCCTTTCAGCTGGGAATAACTGTAGCCCCCAAAATAGAGAGAGGGTTGTGGTGGGAACTAAATAAATTCATACGTATAAAGCTCCTTAGGGCTTTCTGTGCTAATTGGCTGAGGACCAGATCCTTACGTCACACGAGTCTGAGTTAGAAGGACACTTGAAGCACTTGGACTGGGTGTGAGGAGTAAGGTGGTTCTCCAGGGAGAAATCAGAGTAAGATTACAAAAATGAGGTGAAAATGATGCTGGGGGAGGGGGCAAAAAAGCAATTTTGCCTGCACATTGGCAACAGGCTGGATGGTGGTACCATTCACCGAGACAGAGAATATAGGAGAAAAAGATTTCTGATTAGGAAGAGATGAATTTGTTGGTGAATATGCTGCATTTGAGGGAGTTGTCTGTAAAACTTCCAACCAGCCTGGATCTCAGGAGAGAAATGTGGGCTGGAGATATAGATTGGGGGGTCATCAACATATTGGTAGTAGTTGAAGCCATGGGCACGGATAAAATTGTGGAGGACCAATGTGTAAATTGATAAGAGGCTGGGATGACAATTAGAGTTCTACAATACTCAAATACTGAAGGGACAAGCAGAGGGATAGTCAGGGAAGATAGCAGTCAAAATGGTAGCAGACAAATATTAGCCCGAAAAAGGGAATTCACACATGCTGAATCTTGGATGAACCTACATGAACCTTGAGGACATTATGCTAAGTGAAATAAGCCAGTTACAAAAAGACAAGTGCTGTAATGATCTACTCATATGAGGTACTTGGAGTAGTCAGATTCACAGAGACAGAAAGTAGAATGGTGCTTGCCAGGGTGGGGGAGGTGAAGAGTTGTTGTTTAACGGGTACAGTGTCAGTCTGGGAAAGATGAAAAAGCTCTGGAGATCGGTTGTGCAACAATGTGAATGGACTTAACACTATTGAACTGTACACTTCAAAATGGCTAAGACGGTAAGTTGTATGTTGTGTGTCTTACCAGTTCATTTTTCTTAAACGATAGGGGAAAACCAGGAGATATTAATGCCATGAAGCCAAGCAAGTAGAGGGAGTTTAGGGATCCTCCATGTCCCTAAAGAGACTCAGGAAGACAGAGTGGCCATTGAGATTGGCTCCCACTAAAACTAGATCTCAGTGTCTTAAGGCACTGGGTTGTATCTGGAAGGGCACGTACTCCGGGAGCTGATTAATGGAAGGAAGCCCTCTGGAATTAGCTTTCTTCCTCCTTAGTGTTATGGAGTGAATTTAGGTTCTAGAGATGCAGTGGCAGGTGTTCCGGATTCCTAGCACTAGAGTTCAAGGGCTTCCTTCTGGCTTTATTCCTTCAACACCATCTCTCCACTCACACCATGTACTCTGTCACCTAGGGGCCTCCAGCAGGGACAAATGTCAGAATGCTCAAGGGAGCTTCACTGCATTTCAGAGGGAATTCCAGGCTGGCCACAGGTCTCCTTTCTATAGGACAATGCCTTTCAGTCATTTCTCCAACCCTCAATGCCACCAAGAGTTGACAAGAAACTATCATGTTCCACAAGGTGGTAAAAAGATGTCCCTGAGAAGGAAGAAAGACATCGGTCTGCCTTCTCATCCCTGAAGCCAGTTCAGGGAAGCAGTAGGTGCTCCAAACATGTTCCCAGAACAGTGGCTATGGTTCAGAAAGATAAAGACCAGTCCTCCAAAAGGAACTGCCTCAAAACACAGTTCCCCTCTCCTCTGCCTTGGGTGCTAAACCCATTATCAGAATCCCACAACACAAAACCCTGTAAGTTAAGAATAACCCTTTCCACTGGTCAGTGTATGTGAATCACACATGTGGGTGAACACATGTTGTGCCCTTGGTCCCTGTTATTCTTTTAGTCTGAAATGCGAGTCCCCTAGTTCTTCCTAGGGTTCACTCCCTCACTGCAGTCAAAAACTGAAGTCTCCTATTAAATTCTATCACACTCGAATGTTTTTTTCCATAGCATTGATTACCACCAGAAACTTTATTATAGTATGTTTATTTGCTTATTCTTTTTCTACTCCACTAGACCACATCATGAAGAGGTAGATTTTGTCTCAGTGTTCATTACTGTATTCCCAAGACCTAGAATAAATAATGCCTGGCACATTATAAGGGCCTAATAAATATTTGTTGAATAAATGAATAATTGTGCATGAATGTGTGTGTGTTAGAGAGAGATAATGCAGTGTGTTGGGTACCTGGCTTCCTTGATATATTTGGCATGTCCTTCCTTCATCTTGAAAGCTCCGAGACCCCCAAAATGAGAGCCACCCATGTACTTTGCAGTGGTGACCCTGCTGGTGCCTTGCTTTCTCAGGAGGGAACATGCCTGCTCCTGCTGAGGCCATGGTCAGTGCTGTTTGGATTAACAAGGAGAGAAGGCATTCACTGTCCCTAGAAGAGGCGGATCCGGAGGCAGAGGAGATGCTGGAGGAGGCTGACAGAGGCTGTCTCCAGGCCCCCGAGTCTCCATGGCACACGCACCTAGAGATGCACCGCTCGGTCCAAACCTTCCACCAGGAAACCAGTCATCAAGTAAAGCACAAGGACAAGTTCATGGGGTCTGAGCAAAGGCTCCCAGGCTTGTTTGAAGACACTCAGATGACTCAGCAAGGAAGCACGATCCCAGAGGCAGCCCAGCATGAGTGTCAAGTGGGCGATACCCAAACAAAGGCAGTGGGATCTGGCTTAAGCATTGGCGCTCAGGGCCCTCCTCCCATAAAGAAGCCACACAGGTCTGGAAGACCAGCTCACTATCCATTTCCCCAGAGGAAAACTCCCAGGATCTCCCAGGCGGCCCGGAACCTGGGCTTATATGGCCCAGCCTGAAGGTTTCCACCCAAAGGTCTCAACCTTGAGGCCATCTATGGCCTCACCTAAGAACTTAGGAGGCAGAGGCACAGCTAGGGCCTCTAGCTGGGAGCAGAACTGGACTACATCAATCGTCAGGATGGTGGGACATGAACTTTGCAGTGGGCACGTAGACTTGTCCTTCAAAAAAAAAAAAAAAGAGAGGTTGCCCAGACCAGACTGCTCACAGCTCAGGATGAAAGAGTGCTGTCTGATCAGTGCAGCCCCATTCTGCTTATATAAGAAGACATTGCTATGGACATCGACTCAGTCCTTAGAATTAGAGAATTTTGAAACATTAGACAGAGACCCTAGCCAGGGGATGCCTTTGCAGTGCCCTGGAGTCGACAGGCGTGGGCCATCTTGTTTTCAGTAACTTCTGAGGATTTCTCACATTCTGGAGAAGAGAGGGGCTCTGAGAATTTCCTTTTTCTGGTCGCTATGCCTGGAGGCCAGCTCACTTACAAGTCTCTACATTCATTGGTAGTGACCACACCATTTTAGCTTGAGCCTCCCAAAGTATGGTCACCCTGGGTAAAAAGGGTCAAAACAATCCCACCTACTGTTCTGTGTGTTTAAGTGTCTTTAGGAAGGGTTGGTCATCTCTCCCCTCTCATTGAGACTGCACATTCCGGTCTCATTATAGATTTATTTCCTTTCATCCTTCTCTCTCCATCCTTTCCTTCCTTCCTTCCTCCCTCCCTTCCTTTCTTCCTATTTGCTCTCTTCTTCCCTTCTTCAATCTCTCTGTCTCTCTCTCTCTCCAAATTAAACACTGCCCATCATTGAAGATATATAGTAATAGAAGCCTGAAAGAAGAAGATAAAGAAATGTTCCTGCTTGGGAAGTTTGTGTTCCTCAAAAGTTGCTGCCTTTTCAGCCAAATTTGAATCATTCAGATCCTTCCTGGTATATTTTAAACCAAAGACAAAGTGAAGCAGGTATTACTTGGGTGGTGGGGAAGAAATTATCTTACCTGGTTAATGTTTAACTTTAATAAACACACCTAAAGTGACTTTTCCTCATGCCAGATTCTCTCTCTGTAAAGTTTTACCCACATCTTCCTTTTGTTCCCATGGTGATCCAGTCTTGCCCACCCACATCGAGAGATGTTACCTAGGAGTGTCATTTCCTGTCAAAATATGTATGTGCCTTCTCCTTGGGCCATCCCTGAAATTCCCTCCAATTTGGGGATTCATTGTGATTCCTTTTGTGAACAATAAGAGCCAGTTGTTAATTTTTTTAATAGTCTAATGAAAAACAAGGAAATTTTCTGAAAAAACTTTTCCTTTGCTTTTGTTTTAAAGAGGCTTCCCAGAAGTAACTCCTCTTTCTACAGTGTATCAATTAGGATAGGCTATGTTTTGCTGAGTAACAAACAACTCCCAAACCTCACACAGAAGCTTTTTTTTCCCCACTCATGAAAATTCCACTGTGGATTTGGGCCAACTTCCAGGGCAGCTCTCCTACATTGTTACTAACAATTCAAGCTGCTTCAATCTTGTGGCACCACCATATCAATACTGGTTTCCCTAATCACTGTAGCCGAAGAAAGTGCATTAAAAGTCACATACTGGCTCTCAAATCACTTTGCTTATGTTTCATTGTCCAAAGCAAGTAACACAGGCATATCTCCACTTCAAGGGTATGAGGAAGTGCATTCATTTCATGTGCCCACAAGGAGAGAAGGAATGGAAATATGGATGAGCAGAACTAATGGCTAACACAGGTAGAGAGGGGCCAGGTCATAGTACAATATTAGATTTTATTTTGAATACAATAAGTAGCCATTAAGGGATTTACATATGAGACCAAAATGATTGGATTTGCAGTTCAACCAGATGACTCTGGTTGTTCTATGGAGAATGAGTGGATGGTCATGTTAAGAGGCAATGTCAGGGGAAATTACGGCCAGGGGAAGTTCAGTGGGAAAGATGTTGTTAGCTCAAGCAAGAGTGGGAGCAGAATGGTGCTTTGTGAACACCTAGAGGGGTGGGATAGGGAGGGTGGGAGGGAGACGCAAGAGGGAGGAGATATGGGGATATATGTATATGTATAGCTGATTCACTTTGTTATAAAACAGAAACTAACACACCATTGCAAAGCAATTATACTCCAATAAAGATGTTTAAAAAAAAAAGAGTGGGAACAGAAAAAGGAAAAAAGTAGATACATTTGATATACATATACTTTGGAGATAGAAACAATAGGATTTACTGAAGGAAAATTACAAGTTCAGTTTGAAGGATACTGAGTTTGAGGTGCTCAGAGACACACCAACAAAGATATCAAATAGGCAAGTGGATAAATGAGACTAGAGTTCTGGGCTAGACATAAGAATTGAAGTGTCATGAGTATGTAGAGGTACTTAGAATGAGAAAGGATGGATTCACCTATGCAGAGAATAGAGAGAAGACCGGGTCCAGAATGAGTCCTGAAAACTCCCAATTTACATAGTTGAAAAATCTCTAAGGATTTTTCCAATTCTTACTGAGAAGAGGTGGGGTCAGGGAGGAGGAGACAGTGAGGGACACTGAAGAAGAGTGACCAGGAGAGAAGGGGAGCCCGGGATGTGGGGTCTCAGACCTCAGAGGCAAGAGACAGTGCAAGACTTTGCCCAGGTCACTCCCCTAACTGCAAACCTTCTACAAATCCCCATTTTCTAGAGTCCACATTCTTCTGTCTGGAGTTGCTTTTCCTGAAGCACTGGCCAGAGTCCAAGAGGCAATGCCGGATATGGGAAAACTTTTCAGCCAAGGGCAGGCCAGTTCCAGTCAGAGCCAGCTGACAGCTACCAAGGCTGAGGGTGTGTTTGCCCCAGAGACATAGCCTTCTCCTGTGATGGGGTCATTCTCGTGCCTGGGGTGGAGCTGAGGATTAAGTGTTCCCTGTGGTAGAGCTTGAAGGGAGAGGAGCAAGAGGAAGGCTGCTTTTGAATCCTCCCACTCCCTTCCCACAAGGCTGCTTCTGCCAGGAGCATTAGACCAGAGCAATCTCTGTTTCTCAACCACACTCACATGCTTCTCCCAACCCATGGGTGGTCAAACATGTGGGGCAAAGGGCTCAGATTATGTCTGGGCTGTCACGCCACCCACTCTGATCGTCTCCCCCGACAGGACTGGAGCTAACCTTCTTTTCCCACACTCTCCCCAGGGTTGGCAGAAGGTTTTCCTAAACTAGAGAATAACCAGATCACATTGTAAATCCTGCCTCTGGCAGCTTACCTCAGGGTCACCCAGCCTTCCAGCCCACAGTGAGGACCTGCCCCCAGGGCTGCCGTCTTGCTGGGCTTGAAGATAGGTGTACCTGGGCTCCAATCTCAGCACTGCCATTGGTAAACCTGACCCGAGCTGAGTTACTTAACTCTCAGAGCCACAGATTCCCCAACTGTAAAATGAGGCGATAATAGCCCCTGGGGTGTGGGGCTGAGGAAGGGAGGATCCTTCTCATTAGCTGTCCTTTTTTTTTTTCTTTTTGTGTTACGCGGGCCTCTCACTGCCGTGGCCTCTCCCGTTGCGGAGCACAGGCTCCGGACGCGCAGGCTCAACGGCCACGGCTCACGGGCCCAGCCGCTCCACGGCATGTGGGATCTTCCCGGACCGGGGCACGAACCGGTGTCCCCTGCATTGGCAGGTGGACTCTCAACCACTGCGCCACCAGGGAAGCCTGACAAATTCTATTTTGACGGAATGGGCATGACCCTTTTTCTTTAGGGATATGAGGCTGGCAGGAGGCTGCCCTTGGGACTGATATTCTCTCCTTGACCAAACTCTAGCTAGGCGCCTCTGAGTCCTTTCCCTCTGACTAGCCCTCAACCTAGAGGACTAGAGCCAACATGAACATGGCTTCTAAGAGGTCAAGGCAGCATCCCCAGGATGACCCAAGCCCCCCCTTAAAGAAATCACAACAATGCCAAAAGAATTTGCTATTTTGTTCCAGCCAGCACCTGAAGGAAGATAGGCTCCCTGTCTCCTAGTCTCTGTTGGAGGGTAGGAACCTAATTTTGATAGGTACCAGTTAGCAAACCCGGATGGGTTTCACATGGACCAATCCCACCTTTCCTAGTTTCTGTAATTTTCATCTCCCTGACTTGAGTCCCTACTTGCCTCCCTCCCTACTCCCGCATTCTCCCTTTAAAACACACAGCCACCTCTGTACCAATGGAAGTTTTCAGCTCCCTATTGCAGTTGTATGCTAGTGATGAAAATCTGTACTTACCATTTTAAGTAGTGTCCCGCTTTGTTGACCTTTGACAGGACATATCTGTGTAGAGGCGATTCCCTCTTCCCCTACCCACGGAGTGAACACCAGAAGGAGAGGCAGGAAGGTCAAAGAGGTTTTGTTTTTTTTTAAAAGTTGGTAGTATTTGCAAGAAAGGGGGCGGGGCAACACATTATTCCCCAAGTTGGATGGTTGTTTGGCAAGTAGGCTTGCCCCAAGAGATGAAGAAAGACCTCGGTGGGAAAATGTCAGTATAGAACCACCAGGAAGATAAGGTGTTAAGGGTAATCACGGCACATAGGTGCAGAAAATACCGCCCCCCACCCCCGTCCCTGTCCACAGGCCTAAGTTGGGCCAGCAGAGGGCAGATAAGACGGTGGCCACAGACGAAGAGAGATGGACCTCTATGGCAGAGTTTCTCGTCTGCAGGAGCCCGTGGGGGGGGGCGCCACCTGTCCACACCGAGCCTGCAGACCCTCAGCGAGGTCGGTGTAAACGGTCAAGGCCAAAGAGACCAAAACTACGCCACAGCCAGTCCACACAAGCTCTCTGTGTCCTTCTAGCCTAAAGCCAAAAAGGTGTGGCGCACAGAAGGGGGAGGGTTGTGTGAGCGAGAAGACCACGCCCCTCTCTCTAATCTTAAAGGTATAAATCAAGGCTGTGCTTGGGGGTGGGGAGGTTGGTGGGATCTGACTTGAATATGCGAGACACTTTTAAATTCGAGTCGTTTCAAGTCTTAAGAACTGGGATGAAAGAGCTTTAATGATGGGGAGTACCTGATAAGTTAGGGAATCAGGCTGAGCTGGCATGAGGGGACCCTGCCCCCTAGCGGGGATGGATTAGAATTGACAGCCAGGGACTTCCCTGGTGGTCCAGTGGTTAAGACTCCTCGCTCCCAACGCAGGAGGCCCCGGTTCCAAACCTGGTCAGGGAACTGGATTCACATGATGCAG